AAGATAACCCCACAGAATAATAATATTCAAGGTTTATCTCATCATGCTGAATTTGATACATAATAATTAAGTCACACCGATAAAGATATTATTAAAAAAAATATATAAAATATTACCAGGATATCTACATTAACACTAAAATCACAAGTCTCAGCAGATTTTTTTGAATCGGACAAAAAGAAGCATGACATTATTTATACCACAGTTGGGTCATGTAATGAACAATCAATGGCTTGTCAACAGATGACAACAGTACATCTTGTGTAAGCATCATCCAAACTGATGACGAGCAGATTCTACTTGCAACAGTCGCATTATGGCTGAGATAATGCTGATGTGATGTTTAAATTTTAACTCACTTGTAAAAAGTATGTGTTGGTTACTTATGGGTAAGTACACACAGCCAGATTATATGCAGTCCTACTCCAGCCATAGGAGATAAATGTATTGAAAATGGGACAAAATTGATTATACTAGAGAAAATGATAGTAGCAAAATATTTACACAATATAGATGCAGAGCCTTTTGAGTGTTTTGAGTGAGCACATGTTTCAGCATGTATTATGGATATAAATGATGCATGCAATGCAAGCATATAGTGAAACCATATGTATTCATATGGGCCTGTGACCCATGCTGGACTCCGCAGTCAAATACCTACATCACCAGCTGATGTGACACTATGAGGAGGACAGTTCATGGGAATCTTTTTGTTTAGGCCCATATCTTGACAAATTTCTCTTGTGTGCATGTGTGTGCACATGTGTATGTATGTAAATTATAAGCACAAAATAGGTGGTGAGGCAGTCAGTACCTTTCTTACTCTATTTTTCAACAACACTTTGTGGGATTTCAGGTGTCTCAAAACATTTGCAGGACAAGTGTAAACTGACTTTCCTAATTCCCACAAATAACATTCACTTCCTTGCTGTCATGATGTTGAATTTACTTCGGTTCCTGTCCAGCCAACCACGAAGCCAGTATAAACAGTTACTTCACCAAAATTGTCTTGTTATGAAAATTTACATTTACTGAAACTATAACCTTACACCATTATTCATATCAAGCTTCAGATTCTGAATGGAACATTAATTCTATTTTTCCAATTTTTATAGAATTAAAACAAACTGTTTGTTCAGATTCTGAAAGGAGCATTGAAATATTTTTTTTCTTCATTTTTTCTAAAATAAAAAAAGGGTTGTTGTACCTTTTCTTGTACACTAGGCATTGACATGATTTACACAGGAGCTTAGAACATTGGACCAAACATGATGTGACGACTTAAGCTGTCAAACGTTAATACACATGACATAGAACAGTACTAATTTTCAACAAGTGACTAACTGTAGTTATTGCACTTATTAATATATTAATGATTAACAAGACATATATAACTTCTGTCCTGAATATATTCCTGGTCACATCCATTTATAAAGCTATCAGTTGACATTCAATTTTTAACTTAGAATAAATATTGTCAGGTCAAATAAAACAAACAGAAGATTTTCTTTTTGTGTCAATTACATTTCGTACTGACATAAATCAGTAATTTATTCTCTAAATATCAGTTCTGAAAATATAAAACCTGAACTTTTCACAAGTTTCCTATCTAACTCCTTCTGTATCAGTTTTCTATTTTCACCTCTGCTTTATCTCCTGGCTTCTCAGAATATCTGGCTAAAGATGTTCCCAGATGCATCCTTTTCTTATAACATTCTGGTTACAAATTTTGCATTCATATAGCTATGGATTAACCCCATGAAGCACAATCTGACCACTCTATCATTCATATAACAGACATTTTTTTGTCATGACTGTCAGTCCTAAAAACACTAAAAAAAAGACAAAGAAAGGGTGTTTATCTTTAAATAAATAATGACAGTTTACTGAGAATCTATAAAGTGTCTGAACCATATAATGAACACAGAAAATCTTTCTGTCTAAATTAAGAAATCAGCTGGAAGGTTTGCTGGTCATCATTGCTATCTCCCTAACTACATGAGCCTTTTCCCCCTTTTTTTACAGAAATATTAATATTGTCAACTCATGTGAATATCCTAATCAATTAACTAATCAAATGGAACCAGTTGGTTTCACTGGTCAAAATGAATTTTATTTTTTTATTTTTAAAAATCAATATTCAAAGCCTGGGAAATTACTCCATTGAACATAATTGGCATTTTCCCTGATTCTTGGTGTTTGGTTATTTTTTATGATGTCTTTAGGGCAGGATTTATATATAGATTTCCTTGAATTCAAGCGGGTAAGGTTCGATGTTATTGGTCGTAAAAGAGCGAGTTCAATGAAATAAAGATGTTTTACAACCTCACTATTGTCCAGAGTACAGGACAAGCACCTGTTTTCACAGAGTCATACAATAACTTCAGGATGATTTTTCTTAATTGAAAATTCACTTTATAACTTTATAATTATTTCCATGTTAATTCCATATTTAAATATAAATATTTGGTTTAAATCAGGGAAGTGATGCCTAGAGGGCACACATAGGTCACACTGCACTTCCTTGTGTTGCATAAAACATTTAAAACTGACGCTGTAGCAACCACACAGGTCTGACAATCAAGCAAAAAAACAAAACAACAATAAGCTTACAATAAATCACTGACAATATTTCATTTGTACTAGTTATGCTGCCATGTTGTGAAGAACACACATGGCGTAAAGAATCATTTAATTTCAGGGTTCATATTGGGAATCATTAACCTTTCATGTCTTTACTACCCAGACGAAACAAATAAATGATGTGCTGACTATTAAAGTAGAGAAAAACATCTCACCGTGATATTTAATCTCCTGTGATTTCCCTTTTAGGTCAACAACCACAAAGTCATGCAAGCAGAAACTGATAAGTCTCTCAGCCACTAAATATCAAAATGCAAGATAATCTTTTATGAAGCAAACTTAACCATAAATATTTCAAAGTGAACATTTTCAGTAATTGTAACAAAGAATAAAACTAACTCTAACCTCCCTTTACAGTTTTCAAATCTTACCAATGTTAGTTTTTACCAACAACTAACTGTACAAGACAATAAAGACTGACAATGTCAAAATGACTCTTAAAACCAGTTACAATCTGTTATGAACTATACAGGCTAAAGACCTGATATAGTTTAGGTGACTGGACAAGTGCTTTAAGTCCCATACACCCTGGGGCAACAGTGAAGTCATAAGTCACTGCTAGACTTAGTGATTCATACAACACAGTGACTGTCGACCCCTATTTCAGTATCCACCTCACCCAGTCAACTGGCCATTTACAGCTAGAACAGTCAAGGGTGTGACCAGTAACACTGCTGGCAGCATTAATTAATCCCCATGCTAATTGCTCAGGCTAATCCAATTTAAACTAATTATGTGGCCTTCACAGCTCGTTAATCAGTAATTCCAGATCCCAGTGGATCAGTACTTGATTGCATAATGTTATGTTAGCAATATAGACTGTTGTGTTAAACTGTTCACCACCTCCTGACTTAATCTGTTTATACTAATGTAGCTTTTGTTGTGTATGTTTAGCTCTTGGCTACTGCTGTGAGGCAGGCTTATACCAATACTTTCTGTTGGTACATAAACATTTACTGTAAACTGATTTTTCACATATGAATATTATAGCTAATATCTTTGAAAAGAATCCTTTGCATTTCTTAAAGAATCCATACAAATATAAAACATAAAAAATATTGCTATAATAAAGTTACTAAAAGAGAAAAAGAATATTTAAAAGCAAATAGAAAACACAAATAAACCAAATTAAAAATAATCATTGAAACCTGGATTGGCAATATAGAACATCTATTTTGTGAAAAGACCATAAAAATAATCTATAAAGTTAAACTGTTTCAAGTATCACAAAAACAATGTTGACAAAACAGCCATCCACAAAACACTATTTTTTCAGGGCACTACCAGTCATATCAAACTGTTGATTGTTTAACTGTTACACATTGTTGGAGATTTAAAACAGTGTAAGAAAATAAATAGTACAAACACACAGTGAGAAATAACACCAAATACAACATTGTGCAAATAAATGTCTAAGGACAATACCTCTTCCGACCATGTAATCCCAGTGCTCTGTATCATAATACACTTTCCATACAATACAAGACACTTCTATCGACTCAAAAACAATGTCTTGTCCCTTCATTCTATCATATTTCTGAACCACGTAGATAAGTTCCCTCCACAAAGCTATTTTCATAAACTGTAACTGCAATACACCTCAGTTATATCAATATTCCTCTGTATTGTTCTTGTGCTGGAGTCAGCGCAACTTGATTGACGTACTGTATTGAAGTTGCTATCACGTGTTGTATCTCAGCGGAACTAGCTGGATACATCAGATCAGATACCCAAGTCCCTAGGAAGGAGAGTGAGAGAGACAGTGTTTCGTGGATAATAACCTCGCGCCTGTACTCCGTTTGGTCAAACATACATGTGCCTAAAGAGTCCTTGTGAGACGAGACATCGACTTTAACCCTGGGTACGTCTGAACAGTGGTCATTCTGTTACATTGCCTTTGCTACTGTGACATTACGACAATTCACGTGTCATTTCTTTATAAACTTCCCTATCCTTTTCTAATTCGTTAGACTTGACGATTGTCATGACTCTACAACACGTCCATTACGTCATACACTTGGTTCGCCTCAAAGCTTCAATGTCAAAATCCCGGTAGACCCTATGATAAATTTAGCGCCAAAGTATTGGCTACTGCAATCCGCGACCCTGTAAATGACCGCTTGAAAACAATGGTTAAGTTGACAGGATTTGTTTAAGAAGTTTACCAACTTTCGTAATATATGTGTTACCCCTCCCCTATGGCGCAACATGATCTCCCCGACAAAGGCCTACAGCGAGTATATGGTCGTCCGTGGCCCTCTGACCAGTCACTGGTCCGCTGACGCTAGGGCCGATCGGGGGTGACAGCTCTCAGATCGGGTGAAATCAATGAAATAAAAGAGTGACATGAAACTCACATGAGTCCGTGGCTTTCCGCTGCTGTGGTCGGCCCTGTTTTCGCCGTGACATGGCCTCAACATTAAAATCGTGAACTTGTCGCTTTACATCTGGACAAAGAGTATCAACAAAGATGGCGGCCTTCCAGCTGAATCATGGGTAACAATTTCCCGCACCTGCCGTATTTCTCCCTGTCTAGCTTCTTCCTTCTGTCCTTCCGTCAAGTCGCGAGCCGTCTACACGGCTACCGGAGTGGGTTCATCTAAGGTGACCCAAGCTTATTGGGTGGGAGGGGCTTGCTGACCGCTGTCCTGAGTCCTATAAATAACTCCCGTTGAGCCACGGTATATTGACCGCTGCCACTAAATCGGAGTGCTTGGCGACACGGCTAGCTGTTAGCGAAGACTGGTCATTCTAGGAATTGTGTCACTCAGCACATGTGTAACAGTAAATGTTTGGCCAGTGTCCGCGCTGAAACATGTGGATCACTGAAATACTAAGGGCGACTCCACTTGGCTGGTGTAACTTCTATCTCCCGAGTCTAGCCCCGGTGACTTGGCGAGCTGCGATTCTCTGATAGTAAAAAACTAAACGCGCCAGCTAAGAGCCGTCTGCTGCTGAACGCCCCGAAAGGCTCGTGGTCAAGTGATGCGTGGTGGCCCCAATGTGTGTTGCAGTTGGCTGACCCCGCCGACCGGCCCAGTCCATTTCCTGTAGGGGTGAAAGGTTTTACTATAGCGTATGGACATTAGCTCATGATCGCGTACGTAACAGTTGTCTGCCGAAGCCAAGGCCGGGCAGGGTTCGCGAAGGCGGATATAAGATGATCCCCTCTTGTTGAAACGGGAAACTTATTTTCTCAGTCTATCACACGTGTTTTCATTAAATATTTACACACATATAGGTATTCATGACAATGACAATATTTGTAAGGGGAAGTATGTATCTATATGTGTACATGTGTATGCTAGTGAATGGACAGTCTTATTATCTTGTCTTCTGGAGCCCTGCCCTGTGAACGCATGTAATCAATACACGCTCAGGCTCGCGGACTGACCAGCGCGGGCAGGCTCGTGTCCTCAGCTCGGACCACTGACCCCGCGCGCGTAATGTATGCCGAAGTATTGACCTAACTATATAGGGCACTAGTACGGCCCTAGACAGGCCGGGCCGATGTCTGACAGAGGTGTTCGCTGGCAGCTTGCTTGTCCGTCTCTCGCTATGGTCCTACCGACTGCTGTGGTAGGGCCATGGACGTACACGCAGAAACTATGAGGCGGAGCTCACTCGATCCGAGCTGGCAACGCTCATTTCACAGTTTTCTGTGTGTTGACTAGCAAGACGATTAAATGGTAACTGTTGCTTTCGTTCGTTAAATAGATTTCAGTTGCTGAGCGAAAGTTTAAATACCGTGTCACGTCCTGCGATTTGTTAGAAACTGCACCGTGCATATCGACATTGGTTAGAACTGACGGAGGATCGACCGGGCCAAAGGAGGGATTTTACAGCAGTTTTGTAGATTCCAGTGTTTAGTAGAACGAGAAGGACTCCAAAGATTCGCACTCCTTTACTTTAATAAAATCTACGGTTTTTCGTATACGTCAGTCAATTTTCGTTTATTGATAGTTATCAACACGTAACTATACTATAATAAGATATCCAATACTCTTAAACCCTCAAATACAAAGTCAAATACTCACTCCAACGGCATGTCCTTAAAGTCAGGTTAGATTATTAATTGTTTATTGGTGTGTGTGGAATGGTTAATACAATTCTTTGACAAAGGTCGAGACTCTCGCGTTGTGATAGTCTTCGTTTCATACAAGAAGCCATTCGCGTGTGCCGTCTAATTCTTTAGTTGATAAGGACCGTGCTACGACTGAGTATGAAATATGCAAAAAGATGACGTAAAGGCTGTTTGACTTGGCTCCTTCTATGGCTTCAGGACTGCGCTTCCCATGCCCGGCTTCAAAGTTAAATAAAATGTCAATTGCTTTGAAGAACAGGTGCGAGGGTCGCTTGTCGCCTCACTTCCCCCGAAGATTATCGAAAAACTGAAAAACAGATCAAGTTATACGTTACCGCGAATGTAACCTTTACGTCATAGATTTCATTTCTTGTATCGTGATGTCACAGAATCCGCCAATGTTTTGTATTGATTTTACGTCATATGGAGTAAATATTTTTTGGATGAAATTGAAACGGGTAGTGACTTGATTTAAAGATAATTTTCAATAATTAATCATTAATTATACCGATGAAGTATGACATATTCTACGAAATTAAGCAATAATGTGAGCTAGGCAGTGGTTCAGGGTTGTTTGTTGCTAGGCGAGCGAACGAACCGTCATTTCTCTCTCGGCCACCACCACCCCATCCCTAAGTAGTGGAAGATTTCAATCGACAAAAATACAAAAAATATAACAGACGATGACTAAATTAAACTGGCTACTATGTTGAAAACAGTGTCCGGAACACACAAAACTGAAGTCGGAAACCCAGCCAGGATTCCCACATCGAAACATCGCCATCGTATAACATTTCGTGTTTGAAGGACCCGGGTTCGATTCCCCATATAGGTACAACGTGTGAGGACCATTTCTGGTGTCCCCCACCGTGATATTGCTGGAATATTGCTAAACGCGTCGTAAAACCTTACTGGCACTCGTCTTTGGTTTACCTTTGGTCGGTTAATATATTGATTGTGTTACCATTAACTAAAATCTTCTGTAGAGATGAGCCATAATTCTTGAATATCTGCGGTATCTTATAAAGTGCACATGCTTAGTTATGTTTGCCCGTGCACGAAAACTCATGATACGAAATAATATATATTCCTGTGGATATAAAGATATATAAGCCCGCTGTGATGTAACAGCATTTTGTAAGAAACGCTGAAATAAGCATGTGTCATTGTATTGTGGTGTACTTAAATGTACCATTGTGTAAAGGCGCCTAGAGTTAATGATTACATACCGTTGTAACCACCTTCTTTGTGTTAATATGTTATTGTGTTTAGAAACAATTATATTGTGTTAACATGAGGAAAAGTACGCTGTATTGTGTTCAGAAATAAATACATTGTGTCAACAGGTGGAAATGTACACTATTGTGTTAAGAAACAATTAGATTGTATTAATATGTTGAAAATTACACTATTGTGTTAAGAAACAATTAGATTGTATTAATATGTTGAAAAGTACACTATTGTGTCAAGAAACAATTAGATTGTGTTAACAAGCAGAGTATACAAAATGTGTTGAAAATAATTCAACTGTGGTAGCATGCACAGTCATTTTAAACCAAAAAACACCACAAAAAACACAAAAGGAAAAACGTCAGTTTCATTGGTGTTAACGCGTGGAAACCTGAACCATTGAGACATAAAAAAACAATTGTAAACAGCACACCAGTGTGTTAACTTACATCCACAGAAATTATACAAGCGTGTTAAAAGGCGACTACTGATTTTGCCCGTATATTATTTTTGGTGATACCCATTTGTGAGACACGCCAGTCGTCAGACGCTTGAATGAGGGTGGAGAAGGCTCACCCCTACAGAAATAATAGATCAGTCCGATCAGTCCTAATTAGCCCAAGCTCTGATCTACTTCAATATACACTGATTTGTACGAGTACTGATTTCTGAATGATTTACCCGTTCTACTGAATTAACCATAAGTCTATATAATTGTTTAAAAGAATCTTGTCAATTATGATTCTGGTTTTTTTCATTTTCGAGTGAGTGAGTGATACCCGTGACACCCGTGATACCCGTATTGTGTTAAACTCCTGATATACCAACACAATGTGTCATCCCGCAGCCATATGTGCAACTTTATTTATTTTACGTCACTCATATATATATTCAAAACAATATAGAGCATGTCATGCTTGCAGTCAGCACAATCTGTGAAAATACATGCTTTTGTTGATCTAATCAAACAGACAAGACGTAAATATAATCCAAAACAATAACGACATTAACACCATAGTGTAAACAAGTAGAAATATTTTACATATGAATCAAACTGGGTTTTTAAGCATGATATGACCCAATTGTGTAGAGACCGTGTATGTCGTGTTAAGCTGTAAATTCCGTAATTCCGAATTATGGCTTGAATTAGTCTTTGATGTTGCCGACCGAAATATAAGTTAGAGAGTTATTGCTGTGGTGGGTGTGTTGTGGTTTAACTGTTTACTGTTGTTTAACTGTTTTTAAGTTTTGTTTACTGTTTAACCATTGTTTACTGTATCCGGATGCTGTATCATCATCGTCATCGTCACCGTCGTCGTGTGTGATATATAACCTTTATTCATTATCATCCAGTTTTAGAGATTTAAGGTTTGTGTACATCTACAGAATAGTATATCAGCGCATGTATGTATGTATGTATGTATGTATGTATGTATGTATGTATGTATGTATGTATGTATGTATGTATGTATGTATGTATGTATGTATGTATGTATGTATGTATGTATGTATGTATGTATGTATGTATGTATGTATGTATGTATGTATGTATGTATGTATGTATGTATGTATGTATGTATGTATGTATGTATGTATGTATGTATGTATGTATGTATGTATGTATGTATGTTTGTGTGTGTGTGTGTGTGTGTGTGTGTGTGTGTGTGTGTGTGTGTGTGTGTGTGTGTGTGTGTGTGTGTGTGTGTGTGTGTGTGTGTATGTATGTATGTATGTCTCTTTATGTGTATTTCCAAATAGTCGTTTAATATTGTTATTTTCAATTTCTAAATACATATACGACAGATATTTTGAAACTGAAACTGAATTATTTCCACACCTATATACCTTGACAGTAGACACGATAACCCAATTTCTCCTTAGGTAATGTCTGCGTTCCCAAATGTTTCATTTTAAATGACATTGAAATGCAATGTCCGTTGTGATAAAACTGAAATATGATATGTCTACATAGTTTGTCTACTTAGATATATTAATAATTAATACATTATCTTCCCACTAGTTTCTGCTAGTGGCGTCTCCAAATTATTCATTCCTGACGGCACCAGGCTTGATGTGATAGCGAACGACCATTTTTATATGACCATAATTAAGATAAATAAATGTCTGCAATCATATTCATACTGTTTGTTTTCAAACTATGCATTGTATTCACATATTGGACAATGTAATGTCTTCCCATGTGTGGCAACGTACAGGATGAACGGTGCATCCACCATCATCTGAATTATTCATCACGTGTCGGTGATGCAGAACCTACTCACTACTTCTTCTGCCGCCGGGGACTATTTTATGTCGCTTATGACACTGTTCATGCTTCTTTTAAAAAATGTGAAGTGTCATTTTCTGCAACCTTGAAGAATATATTTTTTTACTGGACTCTTATGGAATGATTTGTTTGGTAATGGAAGCAGAACTGTATTATTCATAGTCTTTTTGTAAAACAGTACATGGCATAAAGTCAGTTTGAACATGTCGGGAAATGAGACTGTTTTCAGAGGATCTGCAATGTATAATTCGGAATTAAATTCATTTTGCCCAAACTGGTGGATAAATCCACATGCACTTAATATCATTCATAATTGATTGAGTGAGTGAGACAGCGTATTATTTTACGCCACTTTTTGCAATATTCTAGTAATATCACGGCGTAGGACACCAGAAATGGACTTCATACATTGTACCCATGTGGGGAATCGAACCCGGGTCTTTGGCTCGACAAGCGAATGCTTTAACCACTAGGCTACCCACCGCTCCCGTCTATAATTGGGTACACCGAGCTACACACATAGACTTTAGGAAACAAGAAGTATGGAGGAAGTCTTCCCCCACGTGCCACAAAACAAAACAAAACCAAACCAAAGAAAAAAAATAACAGCCCAAAACAAAACAATAATGAATAAACAATCTGGAAGTCAAAGGTGATTCTTTTAAAAATAAAGTTTATGATCTCACTGTTTCGGATAATACCTTAGTTCAACGGGACGTTAACCCTTGGACAATCGTATGCGTTAACCTATGGACAAT